ATTTATTTCTGATCAAAATTTAATTCTTTATTAAAAAAAAAAAGATGATTTTAACTCATCACTTGAAAACCTTGAAATAAATAAAATAATGTTTTAAGATAAATTTTTTTTTCTGTTCAAAAATCCAAATTTCATTTATATAATGAACAAAAATCTCAATTTAAAATTTATAAATACTAAAAATTGATGAGAAAAAAAAAGTAGCTTACATTTTTCATTTAATCTTAGAAATGCTTGCAAAAAAAAAATTCCTTTTTTTTTTTTTTTTCATCATTCTATTCTTTAGTTCTAATGTATTCAATTAAGAAAATGCAAAAGACAGATATTCATCTCGTTTCTAGACATTAAATATTAAATCTATCAGTTTAGCATTTTCTTTTTTGGAAATCAAACAAAACAAAAAAAACGAAGAAAAAGAAATGCCATTGTTTTTTTTATTTTTACATGCAATACAACTGTCGATCTTCTTAAAATAAAGATAAATATTATCGTGTCAATTTACTGACCATTTTTTCTCTTTCCTGTATTTCAACTTATTGTCGTTTTTTTTTTCTTTCTAGATGATAAAAAATTGATTACGAGAAACTTACACGTTGATCATCCTGGATAGCTGAAATTGAATTTAGTTCGTCAAATGTAATATCTTGCAACTGACGACCCTTTAAAGAAAACGATAAATGAACACATTATTATTTTTTGAAGAAAATACAAAAAAACGGAAAATGACTCTCAAGAGATATCTGTAAGCAAATTTAGTGAAGTTGAACATGTCATGATCATCAAGATCTAGTAACTATCTAAAATATTACAATGTTATAGATTGTTATGCGTGCATCTGTATAACGCGATTACTTTTCTTTTTCTTCTTTTTTTTTTCTTTCTTTTTTGACGCGCCTCTCCTTCTTGTTCTCCTATTGAATAGAAAAGAATTAACGATTATGATTATTAGGATTAGACTCCGTTTTTTTTTTGTCATTATATCTTATTCGATCTGTTGACATTACCGGCATTCTGTAACTGATCGTCATCGAGCTCAGTTAATACATATAAAAATTAAAAAGTCATCTTAAAGACATGAGAAACGATAAAACCCTAGGGAGTAAAGAATAATAATAAAATATTCGATATATATATTTACTTCTTTATCAAGAATATCATTTAAAATTTCGATTTTTTCAGTTATTTCTTTTGATTCTTCTTCCGTTAAATCAGATGGTAATTCAACATGAGTACATATTAATATCGAATGTCCTGTTGGATGACATGTTCGTGCTACTTGTCCTTGACGATTTAATATTAATTCAGCATCAAGTGTTATCCATCGTTCATAAACATTAGATAAACCTGCATTTAATTGTTCATCATAATGATCCAAACGTAAATGACATAATCCAAGAAGTTTATCCCAAAATTGACCACGTTCCCATAATTCAATTTGAAGACCAGCTGAACGATCGGGTATATCACTTTTCAATAAAATAAAAACAAAACAGAATTAGATTTCAATTTTTATAAGATAGAAAAAACAAAAGGAAAACGAAAATAATATTTCATTGAGATTTATAATTATAAACAGTTTAATTTAATGACGTATATGAAAAGAAATTTATCTGATTAAATTCAATCCTATTTACATTAATTCTTTAATTAATTATTATAGAAATAGTTCTCTCAAAATAGTTCAACTTTCAATTTTATTTTAAAATTTTAAGTCGAGTGTGTATTTATTGTATCTCGAATTGATTTTCTATTGGATTCATTTCGTCTGGTTTTATTTTTGCTATTTTAATCTTTATCTTTTGTTAATATTATAGATAAAAATCAGAGAAAATTTATCATTATTTTACTGTTTTTGAATTCAATATTTATTGTGTTCTAATATAGATGTTACGAGTAACAGCATTGCATCTTTAGTTCAAGTCTAAGTGCAAGAAGTATAACTGTCAAAGTCTATCATGCTAACAATAGATTTTTACTCTATGTATTATAAAAATAAATCCTCTCTCAAACAGTTAAGATGCCTGCAGAAATTATAAAACAGTGAGTTAGAATCAGAATTTTATGTTTTTTCTGAGTATGGACTCAAAAAGTTTCGTAAAACTTCTGATTTAGGAGTTATGAGCCGGCCTTTTAAAGGTCTGTAAATTAAGTTTAAACGGAGAAGATTGATGTTTTTTACCTGCTATAGTCTCCTTTATTGCAAACATTATATAACCAATTTTTCTTTTGTATAGAATTAAAGACAAAATTATATAAGAATCAAGAGTTTGAGCACAATCATTCACCAATGGCAGACCTCAACTTGCAAGTCTATTTTCCATAGAAATCAAGAAAATTGTCTATATTGGCACGATGTCTCTTAGAAAAACACCCTCTGTTAAGCTAACGAATCATTAATCTACTATTATATTGGGAAATGTTTACTTTTTCATTTGCTGCATTTTCAATAAGTTTTCTTCCTACTATGGATAATTTTTTAGGTACACTAAAGTTTGTCGAAACTTAATATATGAGTCACTAAAAGCTCGGCTCATAGCTCCTAAGCCAAAATTTTGAATATATATTCTAAAATAACACAAAATTCTGATTGTAATCGAATGTTTTTAAAGTTCTTCCCGCTTTTTCAAAAAAGACTGAAAAATGAATGAACATTTTGTCTCATTACTTTTCGATTACCCATTAGAGTTTTGTTTATATGGAAGCAAAAAAAAATACGCTAAGCTTTTATTTGTCTTGATATAAACATGGATGAGAAGCATTTTCATTTATCTTTTTTCTCTATATATATATATGAATATATCTAATTGACTCTGGAATATTTTGATAGTCTATCATGATACATTTAATAGCAATGTCAGACTCGAACCTTTGTAATAATCTTCTTTTTTTCCACCAATCGAATTATTGCCTATTAGATTGCTCTATCCTGTTTTATTTAAAAATACTGGTTAAAAATTAAGGAGTAAAAAACGAAAATTTCGTACTTCAAAGGTATCCTTTAGACATTTTTAGCTATTCTAAGTCCACTATCAATGTAGATCACGAGCATACAAAATTTCACAGATGTAATAGGAAAGGAAGATTTCTAAAAAATCAAACATGATAGTTTTAAGATTACAAAAGATTTCGAGAAAATTGATTTTTAAGAGTATTATCTGCTGCATAAAACAAAGGATCACCTAGTATTGCAAAAAATCGACTAAAAAAAAAACACATTTTCTTTCTTTTTATGATGTTTATAACTGAAGGAACGGGCGTAGGAAGTGCAACAATCTAGAAAACTATCGTGTTTAGTTTTTGAAAAATCTTCCTCTCAGATCTAAATAGTGTAATGAATAACATCAAATATTTTTGAAAGTATTCAAACGATGAATCATTTGATCAAATATTTGATATTCGTTTCTCTTACTCTTTCATCTATCAAAATATTTACATTTAATGGAACATTTAATCTAATCTAAATCGTAAAAAAATATAAATAACGACAAAGAAAATATTATACTAGATGAAGTATAATGACGGCAACATCGAATATTTTCCAAATATCTCAGCAAAGATAAATCATAAAATCTCGCATATTTTTTCAAAAGATGTACTATCGAATTCTCTACAAAAACTATATCACAGACAAATTATAAAAACTTAAATGTTTTTTTTTTTAGAAGATGTATCGTAAAATTCTCTACAATAGTTAAAGTAAGTCAAAGATTCTCTCGACTTGTGATAATGAATTTAGAGAGAACTACAAGGATGTAGATGCCGTAGAAAACGCAACTTTATGATCGAAATCAAGTCCATCGTAGAAAAATTCATTGCTCAATAGCGTAACACAAACAATGTGATTAGAACCCGTTGGATCCAAAATTTTCGGACCAGCCTGATGGGTTCTGAATGTCATTCTCTTAATGTTTGAAAATCACCAGAAATAATTAAAACTATGTCAAATACGATTATTGTTTAGATACAGAAAGTCAAGATTTTATAATTTGTCTTTGCTGAGACATTTGCAAAATATTTGATTTTGCGTCACTTAGTGTAAAAGACTAATATCCACGCCAATAATTAAAGAGAAGTAAGTGTAATCTCAATAACTGACCAATGGCAACAGCTGGTGACCTGCGGATTTCAGCAACTGGAAGAGAAGAACTCCGATTGTCTTTTTGTCTGATAAAATAGAAGACAAAACTACCTTAAAATCCTCATCCTTCTAAAAAAAGGTGTTCAGTTTCAAAGACATTTTGATAATAATCAAGAAAAATGTCTCTAAAATTTAACTGAATATCTCTAGGTGATTTTGTTTGCTGAATATTGAGATCTGAGAATATAATCACCTGACTTATACCTTCAATTATAAATCTGAAGTACATATCAAAATCACATCGAAATGAAACACAGTTTTCATGCATTTTTTTTTTCGAATGTTTTGCGAATATGATGAGTTTTCAAA